GTGGAATATGCACAGTTGTGTCTGCTGTTATAGCCGTACGAAGCGCCGAGCCTGCGGTTACGGTCTTCTCAGTAGTGTCTGGGATTGCAACGATCTGGACGGCTTTTTCGTGAGTCATCTGTATATATGATCCTCTCCCAAATGTTCAAGGTTCGCCGCAGACCCGCTGTGAAAACTTCACTCCTTCGGAATATTCGCAAGATTGTCAGATTTGTGACAAGACATATATTCACTTTATCGAGTCCTAGACAAGATGTTGAACTTGGAGTAATGGGGAGCGGGCACGCGGTACCAGCATGGCAAGAACCTGAGGTGCGTTTCACCATTCGGCCACTGTTAGGGTCTGAACAGCTTGCTGAAGGCGGGCAACGAACACGCTGCAGCCTGCTTCTTCTCAAACGGAACATTGATATTGATACTGATATGATTAGATTAGTCTATACTAAAAACGAGGCCGTTTCGAATGAGGCCAGTAACGCCCATTGCGGTACCTCGTCGCCCCTACGAGATTGAGCGGCATCTAGTATGGCCGGATACATATCCGACCCTGGCTACTGCATCTAGTTCGAGCGTCATCTCGGAGAAAGAGGAAGAACTAGATTTTCACTCACCAGTGGGGTACGTAGAATTTCAGTGCTACAGTCGTCATAGCCAGACCGGTACCGATCGTTTACGCTTTTCTCATCCGGTTAGAAGCCTACGGTCGGAATCACCTTTTTCAGGATCCGATTCCATTCTCCCAGGAACAATGCGCTCTCATGATGCTTATGATGATTGGCTCAGAGAGCAATTATTTAGAGCTGTGGCAGTAAGTGAATCGTTATCTTCATTCTCCATTGCCTTGATACAGTTCCAATTATTATATCCATCCCTACGCTAAGGACTCGAATCACTTTCGTATATTCTCAGGAGAATATTCCCCGGATAATGTCCCCCATTTTCTCACCCCCGATGACATGAACGGACCTATTCCGCTCCAGGAGGCGACAAGGAGCATACCACCTTGGATTTCGTCAGCATACTCTCCACTGTCAACTACGAGAGAGCCCCAGGATTTTGGTGAAGGAGCACCGTTCCGGGATTACGTGCTTATGACCCCAGTTCAGCCTCTAATGGAAGCAACACTATCAGATGCGAGTCATGCTTCAGACCCAACAGTCGGAATGGATGTCGATGAGGATCTACTATCCCCAAATATGCTGGGGCTGAAGATCTTTGATGACGACGTTCCTGGTTTCTGAGGTGTGAGTTCACTGTATACGTCCTCGTCACGGTCTTCCGCTACTGTATACCCATGTCATTGACAATTCTTTTTCCCCTTTCGCTGCGTGTACCAATACTAAATGCATTCAACATATCGAGCATCTTTTACATGTTTGTGATAATGAACATGGTTCATCGACGGTCTAAACTCGAAAGCGTCAGCGAATCCATACAAGAATGAGCCAGAAACTATCACGCACCTTCAAGATTTCGTGCTCCCATAATCGTCATCCCTCCAAATCCTCGTCTTGAGTAACACAGACACGATCATGACATCCGAATCATTCTTATATTTTGTCTCCGAGTGGATGAGAAAAATTGAATGTAGGAAGAACCTTACCTGGTCTGGCAGTGGTACACATTCAAGGGATGATGGGCGCAGAAGTTGAAACCAGCGCAAAACCTGCGTACACCGTGAGACCCTGTTTTCGGGTTCGGCATAACGGCCCGTTGACGACCGCGGCCGCTTGTTCTGCAACCACGATCTTCCCGATGCTCAGAACGGCGAGCAAAGCCTTTTCTTCTTCTCGAGAGCCAAAAGACAATGGCAGACCGGTATCTCGAGCGAATCAACGACACTAACAGCTTGATGTTATTGTCTTCCGCTGCACGAGGCATGTCCGTAACAAGGCTGTTCATTTTTAACAGCATCTCTGGCCCTCGCCTGATTCTTGCTCGCTGTCCTTCACCATGACCACGCTCGTCGATATCTCTAAAGGAATATGCGTCTCTCACCTCCAGAAAACGATAATCACTGTCTTAGGCGGAATATGCACGGTTATAGCGGGATGCATGGGTATACGAGACACAAACCCTGGGATTACTGCCTTTTCGGTAATTTCTGGGCTTACGACGGTGTGGGCCGCTCTCCCGTGAGTTTCCTCCTGCCATATAGAAATATCTAAGCTGAATCATAATGAGTTTAGGGATTCAAGCAAAGTTTTGTTGTATCGAAACATTAGGCGTGTCGGACGACGGGTCTTTATGTTGCCTAGTAATTCCGGAGACGTCGAACTCGGAGTTTTGGGACGAGAGGGTTTATCGACACCATCAACGTCGGAAGAGGTGCGTATATTACTTGAAATCAAAGCTAGCTCGGTGTTAATCTCTGTCTTGCAGTTGGTACCTGACAATCAGTCCACACCTTCACCTGCTAGCTCCCTGGGCCCAGAAGCACATATTAAAGACGAAACAGCGCGTGCATCCGACCCGAACACCCAACCTATTTTACCCGCAGAGACTAACAGGGACGAAAACGCGACCAACCTCAGAGTTTTGAACACAGTTTTCACTTCCTGGGCCACGAGAATAGACGCTGGACTCCGAAATCGGAGAGATGGAAGATATCACTGTGGTCTCTCAGGCTGCGGGGAATCATACACGTCTATACACGATCTCTACAGTAAGTTATCTCCGGAGTAGTATGTAGTGATTCTCATACCTTTTATAGATCATAAACGCTCACACGAAGGTGTGGAACCTTTCGTTTGCGGGTACTGCGGGATAGGATATCGCTCTGGGTCTGATCTCAGGCGCCATTTGACAAGGTCCAAGGGACTTTGTGCACAGCAGCATCAAGCAGAGCTGTCAAAGAAGTCATAGGCAGAGGCAGAAGCTATTAGCACGAGGGGTGAAGAAACCAAACCGGTGGTGGAAAGCTGTTGGGAAAGCTGTACATAGAGCGCTGAGTCTGCGCCAATTGTAAGTAACCCCGTTTTCGGGTTTCGGCATTCCGACTTGGAGTCGAATCCAGCCATCAACGCACCGCTTGCTCTACTTATGTTCACGATCTTCCCAATGCTCAAAACGACGAACAACTTGAACGTGAAGGCATTTTTCTTCTTGAAAAGGCGGCATCGTATGTGGGAGCAAATTAGCAAGATTCAGTCACGGGTGACGGTATTCAACAGCTTTATGTTAACATCAACTTTCATGAAGGATGTCCGTGATAAAGCTGTTCATATTTAACAGGATCTCCTTCCTTGCTTGCTATCCCCCATCATGTCCGCCAGTCACCCTAGTTCTAGGGAATACTGTTCTTCTCCGAGTCATGTTCAGAAGACGGTAATTACTACCGTTGGTGGATTATCCACCATCATAGCCGCGTGCATAGGTGTGCGACATACGAATGCTGCGGTGACTGCCTTTTTGGTGATCTCTGGGATCGCGACGATTTGGGTTGCTCTCCCGTATGTTTTCAAGTTCGTCTCATGATTCGCCCGCTACAGACTTGGATACCTCAAGCATTGCTGATGTTTTGGTACCATCAGACTCTCTTGAAGATGTACCCGTGCAACAATCACGCTCAGCAGTGATACCCGCCGTTCACAGAGACTTGGATACCTCAAGCATTACGGTTGATGTTTTGGTACCATCAGACTCTCTCGAGAATGTACCCGTCCAACAATCACACTCGGCAGTGATACCCGCCGTTCACAGTGGCAGTGGTTATGCCCTGGAACCATGGAGATCTTTTCTAGTCTCCGAGTCCACCGCGACTCAGACGCCCAATACGGCAAGGAGATTTTGGTGTCCTTATCGTGGCTGCGGGAAATCATATACGGCACAATACAACCTTGATTGTAGGACATCAACTCATCTCCCCTGTACCAGTGGATCTTATATGTCTCCTTCTAGATCATAAACGCGCGCACATGGGCACAAAACCTTTCATTTGCTCCTTCTGCTACACAGGATATCACTCTACATCTGATCTCAGGCGCCATTTGACAAAGTCCAAGGGACCTTGTGCACAACGGTATGCGGCACAGGCAAAAGGCCGATGAGAACCCATTGACTGCAATGACATAGTTCAGATAACCTCCTACTCATGTATTTATACATCAACTCTTCATGTCGTAGATACCAGATTGTATTATTTCAAAGAAGTATCCAGGCGCCACAAAACCAGGTTCACTCGTAACAATCTCAAAAGTTCAGCAATGATGTTCGGGTTGCGGGAAGAGATTCAAAATATTTGGTCCCGGGCTGGCGATCCTGACTGCCATATATAAGGCAATCCCTTTGATCTTTCAAGTTGTGAGCAAAGATCCTTCATTTTTGCTCGGCTAGCCCGTCATCTTTGTCGGGTACTGTTTCTGCAGAAACAGCAATCGCTGCAGTGTAGCTATCTGATTCTCTGAGTCTTATCTCCCGCTCCCCTGTGACCTTTAAGTTTAAGGCAGTGTTTAGGCAGTCCGCTGCCTCTGGAGAGGTATAAAACATGAAACAGCACCCACACTAATCCATCACCAGCTCCCTAGAAACCCCCAGAGACGAAATTGAAGCGCACCCAAACCTGAAAACTATGACAACCTCCGAGTCAGATACAGGACCCCAAAATGGAGGAACCAGAAGATATCACTGTGACGTCCCAGGGTGCGAGAAATCATTCGCGGAGTTACACAACCTCAATTGTAAGTCATCAGTTCATCTCTCCTGTACGAGTGGATCTTATATGTCTCCTTCTAGATCATAAACGCATACACGAGGGTACAAAACCTTTTGTTTGCCCCTACTGCACAAAAGCATATCGCTCGGCATCTGATCACAGGCGCCATTTGACAAGGTCCCTTGGACCTTGTGCACAACAGTATCAAGCGGACACGGGCAAGCAGATGTCAGCAGAGGAAGAGTATATGTCAAGCCAAGTCTTGTAGTAGGTACTAGATTGAATTATTTCGAAGAAGTATCCAGGCGCAAAAAAGGAAAAAAAAAAACACGTAGCCCCACACTATAGGTGCTACCAGGGTTCGAACCTGGGTTTCGGGAAGATTTACATGGGCGCACTCCCAGATGGCATGCATCAAAATCCCGAGTGATGACCACTACACTATAGCACCATGCTAAACTTTTCCACTTTCTATGCTGATATCGGGTGAACAGAATCGCATTACATAGATCTAAATAGCGCTAGCTCAAATAACTGGAATACACATAAAACACTCTACATCTACTCGTCATCACTCTCCGTCTCATACTCATCTTCCTCCTCCTCTTTCTCCTTCGCCTTACCCTTGCCACTCCCATTCCCATTCGGACTCCCTCTCCCACTATTCCCATTAACAAGCTCGACAACAACCTGCCCAACCTCTCCCAACTCCCCCATCCTCACCATCCCATACGGAATCTCCTTCCTCGGATACGCAGTAGCCAACGTAAACCCCCACCACTCCTTCGTCTCCACATCCTGCGCCACCAACCCCTTCAACGTCTTCTCAAACTCCCCTTCTCTACTCGGCGCAGCCACCCCCAAAGCAGACGACGAAGAAGGAGAAGCAGGATGCAACTGCGTATCAACGAACGCATACAACACTCCAACCCCATCTTCCTTCCTAAACCTCCGAACGACTCTCGTTCCAGACGGTAATCTCACCGCAACTCTCACATCCCCACTTTCCTGCGGTAGATACGCCCTCAACCACTCCCTAACACCAACTCTCCGCTTTCTCTTCTCCTCCGCCTCCCTTTCCTCTCGTTCACGTTTCTCTCGTTCCTCTCGCTCGCGCCGCTTCGCCTCTTCCTCTTGGCGCATCTTAGCAAGTATACGTTCTCGGTCCCTCAGCGCGGCAGCTTCGAATGCACGATCCTGCTCCTCACGAATTCGTCTCTCTTCACGACGTTGAGACTCCTCGAGATCGCGTTGCACAGCCAACGTCTCTCTAGTCGTCTTTACACGTGCCAGATACGGCTTCACCCTCGGAAGCAACGTTTCCTGGAGATGCGTTACGAGTTTTTCGGGTGTACACGCTTCGGCGCCTTGATGTCGAGATAAGATGGATAACGTGGGTTCTGTCGAGCCGCGCGTGGAAGAAGAGGAGTTGGAAGAGCTGGTTGAGCGTGAAGGTTGCAGGCCTAGGAAGGCGATGTATGGGAAGGATGTGACGTTTAACTTGAGCGAGGCGGTGAATGCGTATGTATCACGCGTGTCACCTCCCCAGATGATTATGTCGTTTTGGGTGAGCGTGTCGATGAATGTGGGGTTTGTTAAGGTGTTTCTATAGTCGGCGTGGGCATTAGCTCTCTTGTTCGTAGTGTAGAATAAAAGTAAAAGGGAAGTAGGAAGAAGGAAGAAAAGAACGTACAATTTAAACGCCGCAACATCATCATGCTCTTCACTAACCAACACAACACACCCAATCACCGCCTCCTTTCTCAGATGCCCCAAGAAAGCGTCGTACGTCCCAAACGTAGCAAAATCAGGGAGGTGTTTGCCTCCTTCCCCCGCCCCACTTCCATTGATGCTCCTCAACGTGGCAGTCGAAGGCCCTGCGATACCGCTGGATAGACCAGTTGCAGACGCAGCTGCTTTGGATAAACAGATTGCACCGGTTTCTTCTTCGAGCTCACGTATCCAACGTTCTGGTGTCCCACGTCCCCGGGGAGAGAAATTTGGACGACGTGAGAGGAGTGGGATGTATAGGTTTGGAAGAGGAATACGTAGGAAGTTGAAGATGAGCCGAAGGAGAGAGGAGAGTAGGGAGAAGGGGTATGTTAGGATTGATAGGAAGGAGTTGTTGGAGTTGCTGGTTGAGGGCTAGGGGAGTGTGTTAGGACCAAGAAGGTAGAAAGGTGGAGAAGAAGAGACACGTACGCGAGCACTGGAATTGGACCCAGGAAGCAAGGCGCCCTGTTCAGAGTCGTCTATGTCGAATTCTTTTATCATTCTTCGCTCTCTTTCTCTGGGAAAAGGCTGCTCTGGCTCCCTTGGTCTTGCGGTATCCGACCCCGAGCCCAAGGAGCCCCCGCCGAATATAACCTCAACAGCCCGCTGAACATCCCACTGCACACTCTCCAAAACCTCTCTTAACCTATCCACATCCGAGTCGTCTGTATTGGTGAGCTCTCGGAGTTGAGTGAGAGCGTGTGTTTGGGGAGGTGTTAGGTTGGTTGACATACGTGTTGTGTGTCGTTTCTATTTTCTTTGCGTTTCTGCGTTTTGGTTTCCTTCCCTGATTCTGTATGGCGTTGGGAAGTAGCTCTTACAATTAGGCGAGTAACAAAGAAGAGTCCAGCGTGGTGGTGGTGGTACAGCAAGAAGGTGCGGCGGGCGGTGTACTGTCCAGTGTCAGGCGGATGACACGCTGTGCAAATGCGCACTAGGACCGCGAATGGCGTGCTCGAAGCAAGAGGTGCTATAGTGTAGTGGTCATCACTCGGGATTTTGATTCGCGATCAAGGCGATAGACAAATACTTCCCGAAACCCAGGTTCGAACCCTGGTAGCACCTACTATCTTTCTTCCGAGGATAGTTTTTTGTGGCGCCTGGATAACTTCTTCGAAATAATTCAAACCTGGTATCTACTACAAGATTTGCAATTGACGTAACATAGACGCGATCTATTCCTCTGCTAACCTCTGCTTGAACGTGTCCGCTTGATACTGTTGTGCACAAGGTCCCTTGGACCTTGTCAAATGGCGCCTGAGATCAAGTTCAAAGCGATATGCTTTTGTGCAGTAGGGGCAGACAAAAGGTTTTTTACCCTTGTGTATGCGTTTATGAACTAGAGGGAGACATATAAGATGATCCACTGGTACAGAAGAGATGAATCAATGACTTACATTCGAAGTCGTGTTGTGCTGTGAATGAACTCTCGCACCCTAGGACGTCACAGTGATATCTTCTGGTTCCTTCATTTTGGAGTCCGGTATCTGACTCGGAGGTTGTCATATCGGTAGATTCAGTTTTCAATCAAATTCAAATCTGCGATACACAGACAGTCCGTGTACACAATACACGAGTAGTAGGGATTATAATTAGGTCGTACTAGCAGCCTCTGCCTTTGCCTCTACCTGTGACTTCTTCGCCATCTCTGCTTGATGCCGTTGTGCACAAATTTCCTTAGATCTTGTCAAATGGCGCCTGAGGTCAGATCCAGAGCGATATCCTATCCCACAGTACCCGCAAACGAAAGGTTCCACACCTTCGTGTGAGCGTTTATGATCTAGGAAAGGTATGAGAATCACTACATACTACTCCGGAGATAACTTACTGTAGAGATCGTGTATAGATGTGTATGATTCCCCGCAGCCTGAGAGACCACAGTGATATCTTCCATCTCTCCGATTTCGGAGTCCAGCGTCTATTCTCGTGGCCCAGGAAGTGAAAACAGTGTTCAAAGTTCTGAGGTTTGTCGCGTTTTCGTCTCTGTTAGTCTCTGCGGACAAAATAGGTTGGCCTAGGGTGTTCGGGCCGGATGCACGCGCTGTTTCGTCTTTAGCATGTATTAATGGGCCCGGAGAGCTAGCAGGTGAAGTTGTTGACTGATTGTCAGGTACCAGCTGTAAGACAGAGATTAACGCCGAACTAGCTTTGACATTAGGGCAGACGCACCTCTTCCGACGTTGATGATGTCGATAAACCCTCTCGTCCCAAAACCCCGAGTTCGACGTCTCCTCCAGAATTACTGGGCAACATAAAGACCCGTCGCCCCACACGCCTAATGTTTCGATACAACAAAACTTTGCTCGAATCCCTAAACTCGATATGATTCAGCTTAGATATTTCTACATAGCAGGAAGAAACTCACGGTAGAGCAGCCCAAACCGTCGCAAATCCAGAAATTACCGAAAAAGCAGTAATCCCAGGGTTTGTGTTTCGTATGCCCATACATCCGGCCATAACCGTGCATATTCCTCCGAGGATGGTGAATATCGTTTTTTGGAGGTGAGAAACGCATATTCCTTTGGAGATATCGACGAGCGTGGTCATGGTGAAGGACAGCGAGCAAGAATCAGGCGAGGGCCAGAGATGCTGTTAAAAATGAACAGCCTTGTTACAGACATGACTCGTGCATAGCATAAAACTGTTATGAGGGTGTTGAATGTTGCTGATTTGCCATCATATACGACACCGTCTTTTTTGAGAAGAAGAATGCCTTCACGTTGTTCGTCGTGACTCGTTTTGAGCATTGGGAAGATCGTGGACGTAAGTAGAGCAAGCGGTGCGTTGATGGCTCCAAGTCGGAATGCCGAAACCCAAAAACGGGGTTACTTACTTACTCAATTGGCGCTCGACGCAACACTTAAACTTGAAAAACGGATGCTCGGTTTATCACATATTTGTATTGAGCGCACGGACCATCGTTACGGATCCGTGACGCTGTCAGAAAAATGTCGCATCTTCTTTCCTGCCTTTTCCCCTCATCTTCGAGCCCGAGAACGAGCAAGCCCAAGCCCCAAGAGCTATTTTCGAGCTTTAAGGGCCTCAAGAGTTCATGATAAGTATTCATTATATTGAATTCTTCTCATTTCATTTGTTTACATTCCGTTTCTAAATTCGGTTTGAATTCGGTGCATGTTACTGCTTTCACAGGGCACGTGTTTTTCATTTATCCATCTCTCCTTCCCTTGGCGCGTGCCAGAGGTTCAACACTGTTTACTTCCACCTCCTGAAAGTGTACCACATCATACACGGGACCTTTTTATTCTCTACGCTTACCCTTTTCACGTCGTATTTCGGCATTTTTTTCTACTTTACGCTTATATAATCAAGAAGTCGAGTTCCCTATCCGGGCTACGTTTAGCCTACTCTCTCCTTCCGCATCGTCCGACTCTGTGAAGACGTAGGATCCCACCAAGTCGGGATATTCCCTGAATTCTGCAACAAACTCTGAGTTCGGCTTGTTCTGGGGAGGGGTCGGAACTCTTTGCCAGTCACGGTGTACGTCGGCACCCAGTGGCTCTGGCAAGCTTGGTAGACTCTCAGCCTCATTGCTCTCCTGGGGTAGTGCAATGCCTTGGATCCTGGGTGTAATAGGCTGTGGATGTGTTATATCACATGTCCCGATTCATATATACGACAACAACGGAGACACACCTGTTTAACAGAGTTCAGTTGAGGGGGCTCAATCTCAACCTTCTTGTCGACCATTTCCATACTGCCCGGACCCAACGAAGACGATGTGTTAGATGATTTTGGCTCCTCCGAGTCTGACGGTGAATCTTGGCGGCTTTCTCGGGATGCTGCAGATATCGATGACAGTGACTCTACTGTGCATTTCATTTCTACCGTAGTGCCCGCCTCTTTTGGCTCGGAATCCACTGAAGCAGGAGTGGTCAACGAATTGGGTCGGTAATGTTCCGATTCTTTAGTCGCCTCTGAATTGGGTTGAACTTGAGCAACGGGCGTTGAGTTTTCTGCGACGTTGACCGCTTCAGGTAAGGTCCTAAGAGAATATTCTGTTGACAGTGTTCCTTGTCTTTCGATTTCATTTGGAGCTGCAGCTGTCGTTGGCTGCCGAGGCTCTGAGGAACCTGGAGACATTTCCGCGGTTGTTACTGTGGTTGACGGACTACGGGGATCATCGAAGAATGAGCTTGATTGAGCAGTGGTCTGTACTGGAGGTAGAGATGGTGTCTTGTGTTCTTCAATAATCGCCCGCTCGCGCGAGATAGAGGAAGAGACAGAAGTTCCTCGTTCGGTGGTCGTGGGTGGAAATGATGTCGGTTCTAGAAGTCTTCCCTGCACATTCGAAGATCGAGGAGGTAATACAATTGGTACTATGGGTCTCATTCGGAAAGGCCGGTTCCTGAGTAAGGGCTAGGAGCACTAATCTCAATGTCGCGTTTCTATGCAGATATAATTTGGGCGCACCTCCTCTGCTAAGAGCCTATTCCTGACCATTACTATTCCAACTGTTCCAAGTTCAACATCTCGACCGGGATCGGGTAAGTTCAGTGTTTGTTTCACTGCAAATCTGAACATCTTTCGGATGACTCGATATAGCATGATCCGCATGAAAGAGCTAAGAAAGACGTGAGTTTTGAACAGTACCATGTATAAATATCTGGTCAAAGAAGGCTCACGGCACTGCAGCCCAAGTTGAGACAAGAGCGCCGACCGCTCCGAAAACAGTGATTGCTGGGCTGGTGCTTTGGACAGCGACCACAATCGCTATGGTTGAGCATACTCCACCAAACACGGCCAGAATCCCCCGTTTCAAGGATCCGCGTCGTCCGTTGAAGCTATTGGTGGGCATGAGCGAAGACAAAAGGCGACGAGAAGCAGAAGCTATACAAGCTGTTAATCCTGTGAAATCGAGGTCAGCCTCATGTTGCGAATAAGATTCCCGCTACCCCTATAGGGTAGCGGGTCTTGGTGGTGTGATGACTCTGAAAATGCCTAGCTCAGGGGAGTTATACGAATTGACCAGTTTTCATTGCACTTGTTTGCCATGAGGCTCTCCTTTGTTGACTTCACAAACAACTTAATGGGGCGCCTCCTTAAACCCTCTCCTATTTACAACGTTCTTTCTGAATTATAACCTCGTCTCATCCCGACCACTTTACGGTAACCGTTTTGTGGCCACTGTTTGGACAACACAGCTCTCCTCGACACTATCATGACCGAGTCAGGCTGAGTACTCCGGCTTGGCCGAGATTCCCGGTTCGGCCGAGACACAATATTCATTCCGGTTCGGCCAAGAATTCTTCATCTGCGTACAATTCAGTTGTTCGTATCTTGCTGGACCTCCTGGTGCATCTGCTTGCCAGTCTACACCCTATGATGAACCCCCTGCCGTATACTGTGAAGATGCTGATGGGTGTCATTTAGATGATAGCTGTTCTATTGATGAGCGGATTCTCAATTGTACAGTGGTATTGTGTTGTCTGAGGTCTCTATCGAAATGTTGTTGGCCCACATAAACATTACCCGTTCACTGTTACTTTGCATGATCTACTTATTGGACGCTATTATAATCATGGGATCTAATGATTATCGCTCACTTCTGCCCAACACAGAGGCTGCTACCGGATGAGGACGGGAGTGTGTCCTTTCAAACAGATAACATTTGTTGCAGAGCTAAGTCAAGGTGCGATCAAATCAGTGTATGTTAATATAGTTGGAAAAACAACGGCGACTCACCACTTTGCCGGGAGATAGGTTCGACCTTCGCCATGTAACAGCTGTTTACGAATCCCTAGCAATTTTTTGCGAAAATCAGTCCTGCTGATGGTATTTACATCCAAACAAAGAGCTCCACCCGGCCAGGGATGCCGACCCAGCGCTTGTCTGGCGCTCGCAGCAGTCGCATTCACAGCAGCCAACCGTACATAGACTATAGACTATATACCACCACCAGAGTCACAAGCTATGATGTCCAATAAAATGGACATGCTATCTAGAATGTCATCGACGCTGCTCCCGTCAAAGAAGCCGATAAGAATAGGCGGCAGAGCTTCAGCGACAGAGTCGGTCAATGGCCCATTCGGTAGGTAGCTAGGGTA